ATCAACCAAATTTCACATTATGCTCTCTTTTTATAGCTTAATCGGAATTATTCTAATCTCGTCAGCAGAATGATATTTGAGCTAGGCATGTCGCGTTTCAACATATTTGGCGCTTTCTCCTGTGGATGTTTTATACCGTTTTTAATTTACGCAGAAAAGACGAATCTCGAATAAATATATTAAGTAAATATGCCCTATTCTTTGGCTTTGCTGGGTTATTCAACGCCTTTATTTTCTCGCCATGATTCTCTTGTTGATACGGCTGGAATAGGAATAAGAGAGTTTGAATTGCGAACCTTTGATTATGTTACTTGGGACATTTGCCTCGAATTATTTTTGGTTACTGTCAATTGATGAAATTACCCATTAGTAATGTTAGGGCGTTGGAAAATTTGGGGATGTATTTGTAAAAAGAATTGTTATGGATGGTTGTGTGAAGAAGAATTGCACGGCAATGATAGGGGTCATATTGAGTAATGATATGAATAATGGCAAGACGGTGTAACATCTTTGATTCATGCACGATGATGCAATGGGTGTGGAACTCGGTGACACGGGGAAGTGTGTTCCAGTGTAGTGTGTCATATTCACACGTTTACGTTGCTTGTTAACTTTCTCATAATAACGATAAGCCCAAGAAATGTGTGGTAAATGCATACACAAAAATTACGACGGGGAATAGAATTCAATTTCAGAAACTTTCTATTAGTCAATGTGAGCTACGAATTCTCTAGTAATGCATAAATGAAAACTACATGTAATGATATACAATTTAATTTGTCCAACTTTTTCGCATCACCCCTGTCGTCTTTGCTTTCGGACGCCAAATTTTGTATAAAAGTCTTTAGTAACATTTTCCGGAATCGACGAAAGGTCGGGTAAATGAAAGTTTCAGTAAGAACCAGTTCAAGCATACAAGTTACCTTGCTAACACTAAAGCCTTGCTTAACGAGAATATGTCCAAAGTCATGAACAAGACAGCCATCCAACGGTCCTGACTTAAACCCACTACTGAAAATTTATGTGAAGAAGAACAGATGCCCATAAATTCAATAATTTATGATAAAGTATTCCAGACACCGTTATAACAATTGCGTGAGCTCAATGAGACGTCGCTGCGGGCTTTGTCAAAAAACGGTAGAGAGAGATTTTAATTAGTTGTTAAAAATAAAATCTGTTGGTGAACCAAACTTTAATTTTTTTCTAAACCCTTAACAGATCATTGGATATTGAACCAAATAATGCATGGACATTGAGGGGTGACTGTGTGACCGTTACAAAATTCGTATACGGAATAACAATGTCGATAATAGGTATCGCTATTTCTGGTAAACCTTAATACAGCCTGTTGCAATGTCTGAATTAGCTGATATTAAATATATGAGACATTCTGGCGACAAATTCTTTGGACAATGAAGAATAACGATTGTAGGTAGTCAAATTTTTAGAAGATTGGATTGGTTTATACAATATAAGTATAAGATCTATTTACGATGGCAATGTCCCGCTACAAACCTCCATCATCATGAACGTAAAAAGAGCTTTATTAACTGGCTAATTGACAATATTTTCGCAGGATATGGTGCGTTACATTATAATTCATACACCAATGACTGTCCAGAACTTACCTTGAGTAATGGGCTGATAACAGATATAAACAATGGAATAACACAGTAGGCCATGATTGGAACGTAAAATATGCGGCGGACCATCAAAATATCGATTACAAAAGTTTGGGGATGTTTTTGACAATGATGAGATAGACCCCAATTTTGCTATCTACTATATTAATTAAATTTAATATTAAATATTGTAGTAAATTTTTTAGTAATGTACTTGAGAATATTGTTTTGTGTAACCAGACTATTAATTGACCAGCCGCCATATGCAAGATGATCTCGACTGATTATCAGATAAAGCCGTACAATGAAATTATAGGTGAGAAGCGCCATTGTTTAGCTAGTGATGACGTACTTTAATAATAGAATATCTCTTAAACTATGAAACGTTTGTTTGAGTCACTAAGTTGTGTGAAAACTTTTAATTAAATCTGTTGGAGTATTCAATATTTTGATCGAATTTGTAACAACAATAACATTGAAAGTTTAAAAATGATAGAACTATTTCTCATTTAGATTCAATGAAATGTCTTTGTTTTCGCTAATCTAAGTATTGCATTATTAACAACTATGTCTAAATAAGATAATAATCATACCATCTATTATTATTTAGTAATCAGTTATTAAGCAGCAAACTAGCTTTGGTGTGTTAACTATACGACGCCATCCTGTAAAAATTTTAGTGGCACTTTGATAAAAAGTAATGAATAACAACCAAGACTAAATTATTCACATGCCTATTTATAAACTAATATCGCTTTAGGTAACTAGAAAGAATTCTGATTAAAGTTTACGTTGATTTGCTGAACATCCTTGATATTTCGATCGAGAGTTTGAAGTTATAGCATCAGTTCTCAACAACTTTCTAATGCGAGCAATACCATATGCAAATACATTTAATAAATTAAAATGTCCTTTTGTAATGAGACCGTTATCTATGATGTAATCTATCAGCGGAAACTTTTTATTGCATTCCTATTACAAATATGTAAAAACTAAACAATTTTTATTTAGCAGATGCTCATCGATACCATACTGAATACTTATAAGGCAGCAATCAAAGAACAACACAGTTCTTTGTGCATTGATTTATCACTGCAGTATCCAAATCAGCACATTCAACAATAAGATTAAAAGTCTAGGCTGATATTGCAGTTGTGTTTGGTACATGAAATACCGCATATACCACCAAAATTTGGAAAACCTTGCTATTTGCGGAAGCGTCTTTACATTTACGTTTAGTCATACATGCTTAAGTTAAAAATAGAAACACACACCGCGTTGCGTTTTCTTAAAATATTATGGTACTGTCAGGTTTAATTTCTATCTTGATAACATTGTGAATCCTTACTATTCGATATACACTCCCGACAGAATATATAAGACTGACAATTTTGACATTGGCATCGTCGGCTAAATGCTTTTTCTCGTTCAACAAAAAAAAATTCTTAAATTCTTATATACGCTCCCACAAAATCATAACGGTTTTGACTTTGACATCGTCAACTAGAAATACAAATCAATTTATTCAAACTTTGCCCTACATTAATGGACGTATTGCAAAATCCTATTCCACTTTATCTCCTCGGAGCTATACCGGCTCTTTTTGTAGCAGGCCACGCTCCTTTTTCGACTCTCACTTCGAAATTCCTACACATATTGGTGTGCCTCGGCTGCCCGTTTACGCCGTTATTTTACTTCCTCCATGTTGAGGCCGGTGTCAGCCAAGACGGTGTGGACAACTGTGCATACTGGCTGCCAGCTGCAAAATTCGAATACCGTGATGGCGAAAATGGAGTTGTGCGTAGGTGGCCATTTGGATTCAAGACTAAAAGTCTTGACTTCACCCGTATTCCCGATATCAAGGCACGTCTCGCAGAGTGCTTGGCAAAAATCTCATTTCTTGATATATTTGCGTGCTTTGTATCAAGCTATTTTATCTTTGTCGGCATTATTATTGGAATCTACAGAGCTTTGGGACCATGCCAAGAACAAGACTGGCCAGCAATACCATTGCTATTATCCTGGACGTTGCCCATATTAGCCGTTAGAGTGTTCAAGGGAAAAGCAGTAGTTAAGGACCCCGAAGAAGCATTAGAACCTATCAGAGGATATATTTCTTTGAATAACAACGGTAATAAGAAACCTCGAGATATTCTAGGAACAGTTTTATTTACGTTACTGGGAAGCATTGCCGTCAATTGGGCAGTTGTAATCCTCACGTATTATACAAAGCCTCAGGGCTTTGGTTGTCGCTCGCTAGGGTTGTCTGTCGTAGCGGGCGTTTGGAGTTTTAATAGTATATTGTCCTTCATATACTATTATTTGTTAAATAACCCACCGCCAGGAGTGGATGAGAGTCCCATATATCTTTGGTTATGTACCTGTGGAATTATGACGTTGGGATTTTTTATCTTTTTTGGGGTAATTAGTAATAATCCAGAGTGGTGGGTAGCTATGTTCGGGAATTCCTGTGATGCGTCTTGTTTGGCAACGAGCAGTTAAATGTTTGTAGTGTAGTCATTGGGCTAGACACATCGATATAAAATTTTGTAATTAACTATACCAACATAAATAACGATTATCAAATAAAATTGTATACAGTGATTTGCAATTAATTATCAATAGCATATATAAGTACTTGATCAACTCACGTTAATACAAGGCGCTTACGCTTGTTGTTGAACGATTCTGTGGACACTGTGCACTTTGTAAATTTAAGCTAATAATAAACTATTGGTACTAAAGCGATAAATTTTCAGATAAAATAGCTTCAATAACTCATACCGTATTAATATTATTGTAACAGGAAAAACAAGAAAATTTATTATGCACCAAATTTTACAACATATTTATTAGCTAATAGTCTCTTTCACACACTTACCCTTTCGTGCACTTTATATAGAGAAATGTGCATTTCTGTTTTTGTTCTCAACACGCCGCTTAAAGTCTACCTCCTGTCAAACTTGGTTACGAGCCATTGGCGCAATCAAATCTCCAGCCCAAATGCGCAATGACATGACTATATTCCCCATCCAAGCCACACAGTACATCTCCGTACCGACTCTTATAGAATTTGATATAATTCGTCACGATATTGACAAAAATAAAATAAAAGTCTGCTCCAAGGTATCTATCACAGGCGAATTAGATATCTTTAACAATAGCTCTATGTAGAGCTTCACAAACTACACCGACCAATCAACCATCCTGCGGTCTCCCAATCTCAACTCCTTATTTGAAAAAAGACCAGTTATGTACAAGTTGCTCAGGAAACCACCTCTCCTTCATCACAAGAACCCCAAAAAATCAACAGCAACAAACACCGTAACTATAATAGACAGCGATCAGAAATAAAAAAGCTCTCGGAAAAGGCAATTACGTTCGAACTCATCAAACAAAATTACAGGTTTAGCATCAATAAAGCTGAACATACCCGTATAAGGAGTCATAATTATACCTAATACCTTAACTGATATATATTCTTTGTCGACAAACATATAAATAAATTGTATGTATTCTTTATTACTATTACTATATAAAATCAAAAACATTATTACGTACTCACAAATGGCATTGACAAGCACATAAATTCTTATCTAGTTAACATTAATATTTCTACCTAATAAGAAAGTTAGACAAATTGATATTGACAGTTGTACGCTACGCAACATGAGGCATTAATAAATCTCTACTCCGAGTATGTAATATAATAAATAACGTATGCGTCGCAACGAGGTTAATTTACCGATTGCTCAAACTCTTTTAGGTACTCAAATCTGTTATGTTTCAAGAATAGAATATGCGAACAATTTGAAACACGAATGCGTTATTGGTTACTCTTTTATAGCTTACCACAAAACATTCTTTGTTTTCATACAAGACAATAGCATTTTCCCATGTTTACAATGGCTCCTACATTTAAAATGTAGGTGCCTTAAAATAAATCACAGTTCTCACTATTGTCTGCATGCGATTTCAAAAATAGTGTTACATCTTGATTATGGCTTCCCGATATGGATGTACAAATTGCACCTTTTCGTTAGCCTGACAAATCACGTTACTGCAATTTTATTGCTTCTCGGCTAAATTTACTCTCGATAGCCTAAGTTGTCTATAACGCTAATAATTACTGTATATATTACACTGTTTGTGATTGTGCTAATAAGCATTATATAGCGTAAACTACGCCCTTTGACATATTTTAGAAGTAGGTTCAAGCAATTTGGAGCACGTGGTAAATTAGTGATGTAAAGGACCCCAAAATCTATGTAAACCAACCCATGTAATAAACATATAAATAAAACCCTTTGAATAAGTTTACTTTACAGTCAGAAAGATATGAAGAACAATTTAACATTTAACATTAGCCTTTGACATCGTACAGTAACGCTTCTATTACAACTACGTTGGGCCGTAAATATTGAATATTTGATACAACTCTAACTATTCTTTGGTCTCCTTAAGGTTATTGTTCGTTGAGTTATATTACTTAGCTCAGAAAACTTTGCTTTTTCTATTAATTTAATTCGTATTGTGCCCAGCATTGCGACAAGCGCATGAAGCTGTCGAGCAATTAGTCTTGCAACTATATCTAATCGTTAAATTGACTAAGATTTGAGCTGAAGCAGCTATTCGGTATGTCGTCCAGCTCTTATAATGAATACCGGGCTCAATTATTTCATTACTTAGACCACGTTATAACTATAAACTTCATAAAAGCTCTTCGCATAGTTCGATTTGTAATTTCACATACAGCAGCCAACATTTTGATTAGAAGCCATGCCAAAAATGGGTTTCATTGTTGGATGGTGGCAATATGCTTTCATGCTAATATACTAAATAATGTTATCAGTAAAAAATTAGGAGGTAGCGCGGAGTAATCAACCAACTGCATATATTTTGATGTATTGCATTAATTAGGAGGCTTTCAAATCGATAAACACTCAGCTTTCGATTGTAGGAGAAGATTCACAGTACGTTAATTACATCGGCTGTCATATTACCGATGGATTTTGGGGACCTTGGATGGAACTTAAACTGCCATCTCTTATAAAGTAATGATTAAATACATTATTATTGTAAGATTTAAGTATTTATAAACAATATGAGATGAAGGCATTATACAAGTAGTAATGCCATTACGTATATAGATTATCATTCATTCTTACGCTAAATTTACAATATTAGATAACATATATTTTTATAACAAATTCAGTATGTTATATGCAGCAGGATGTCATAATGTCGAATAAATACTTTTATAATGCTGTTACCGGATTGTCTTTGTTACTCCAAACTGACACAACACTACCGTCATAAGAAATACGATAATATCTTCCAGTCGTGTTCTTGGCATATTTTGGCTCGTAAGGGTGGTGACAGCGATGATGCTGGCCGAATGCTTGTTCTTTGGATTTTAAATCAATAGGAACTTGATAAGTCCATCCGTATGGTAAACAGGAGGAGCAAGGTGATGGTACCAGCCCAGTGAAGATTTCTTTGAAGAAGAATATGAATATGACGATGATGATAACGTTGACGATGGTGAGATAGTAAAGAGGAAATGATGAAGAGGCGCCGCTGCTGTCGATCAATCTAATACTAATTGCTGCAACCATAGATCGTTCATTCATGGATGAATGAATTTTCACAGCTTCGTCCGCTTACTGCTGGAACATTCTCTCTATAGTGTCCATTTGTAATGTCCGCATTGTTTATGTATTTATTCCAATCACTGTTTGTCGTTAAAAATGCATCCGATATGTGCATCATGCCCACGAACGACACTGTAACGTCCTTAGCACAATAACACATAATAAGCTCCTGAAAGGTCTCCTCGACTATTAAATTATCCAAACAAACTCCCCTCAACAAATACGCTACGTGGTAATTTATCAAAATAATAACACGAATATACTTCACGAAGACTGCTAACAAGGCTGAGACCGTATAGCGCATAAAATTCTTTTGATTGGTTGGTATCGTATGTTTCCCACAGCTTGTCTGTTTTTAGCCATGACGGGGACATGTTTACATAATCCAGTCACTGCAATATGTAGAGCAGCTGTATTCAGAAAGTGAAGATTGGGAGATGTTAGAGAATACACCTCCTTAACCCTTGCTCTATCATATCCAACACTATGTATGGCTCTTAAAAACGAAACTTTGTTGCAAATCATGGACAAAAGATATCATCAATCTTTCACCGGCGGGCACAAAAACGGATCATTGATAACTTTTTCCAAGCATATAGAAGTCGAGAGCAGCGAGGTAATTTCACTCAGCGAATCTGTGCTCGGGAGCTACGTGATCTATCGGAAAACAAAATTGGTATTAATTATGGTACATAAGAATGTTCAACAAAAAATACATACAACATGATCAAACAATTATATATAGCTGTCCGTTATCAGAATGGACGAATGAAGGGTTTGATCCTTGACAAAGATCAAGATCAAGTGTATAGTAGAGGAATTAGGTCAGAAAATGAAAAGGACTCTTATTTCCATCTGTTATAACGACAAAATTAGAGCCTTAGTGCCTAGATTCGATATTATAAGTGTGCAACGATATCCAATTCGTGAATAAGAGACCTAAGTTGTACTACATGTCAGATTGTACGACACAAAAAAGACATATTTATTGCCGTGTAACAATTCGGATGAACATTTGCTGCGCAGGATATGTTGCGTTACACTTATAATTCATGCCCCAATAACCATGCAGAATTTATGAGTTAGCATAACTAATCTGTTGAGAACAATGGAATAACACACGGCGGCCATGATTGGATATCGAAGGTAGCGTAAATATGCAAGATTATCAAGACGGGCGGTACTTTGAATTATAGGTGATAGAAAAGAGAGTTTTAAACATAGAAGCATCATTGTTTAGCCAGTGATACCATACTCTATTTATAGGCTATCTTAAACTATAAAGCTCATTTGAGAAACCCGTTTAAAAGCATTTAATTAAATTTGTTAAAGTATTTAATATAAATATTACAGCCGCCGGCCAGCGCAGGCATGATGCAAGGATGGATGATACCAATGATTGTTAGGGAAGACAAATTTGTAATAACAATAACATTGAAAGTCTAAAAACGATTGTTTAGACTCAATGAAATGTCTGTCTTTATTCATGTAAAATTTTTCACTAAACCAAGCAATGTATATTAAATAACTGTATGATTTATTAATTCGTAAATTAGGGGATTAAACAAAGATTACAATCGCAATCACGATTTACTATTTATTATTTTGTAATCAATTATTAAGCAAACTAGCTTTATACGACACTAATACTGTAAAAATTTAATGACACTTAACCAACTATTGATCGGTTTGATAATAAGCGTACCAATGTATAACAACCAAGGCATGCCTATCTATAAATTAGTATGTGATTTAGGTAACTGGAACGAATTTCAATCAAGAGTTTTGAAAATCGCAGCATCAGCTTTCCAATGAGAACGATATTCACCTTTATGCAAATATGTTTAATAAATTAAAAACGTTCTTTGTAATGGGACCGTTATCTTTGATATCCATCAGCCAAAGACCTCTCATTGCATTCCTATTACAAATTAAGTTTTATGCAAAAACTATTTAGAAGATTAGATGCTCATCTACCTATACTGAATACTTAATAAGGCAACAATCAAAGAACAACACAGTTCTTTGTACATTGTCCAAATCAGCACATTCAACAATAAGATTAAAAGTCTAGGCTGATATTACAGTTGTGTTTGGTACATGGAATACCGCATATACCACCAAAATTTGGAAAACCTTGCTATTTGCGGAAGCGTCTTTACATTTACGTTTAGTCATTCATGCTTAAATTAAAAATAGAATCACACACCGCGTTAAAAATATCATGATACTGTCAGGTTTAATCTCTATCTTGATAACATTGTGAATCCTTACTATTCGATATACACTCACGACAGAATATATAAGACTGACAATTTCGACATTGAGCATCGTCAGCTAAATGCTATTTCTCCTCGACAAAAAACAATTCTTTTATATCTTGTCTGTTCTAAAATTTTTACTCACGACAAATATATATAATCAGATTTTGACTAAAACACTGTCAATTAGAAATCCCAATTCTTCCCCTTCATCACATAATGGCAGACATAATCAGCATATTGCAAAACCCCATACCTCTCTATCTACTGGGAGTCATCCCGGCTCTCTTTGTGGCCGGAGATGCTCCTTTTTCGACTCTCACCTCGAAATTTCTGCAAATATTGGTGTGCCTCGGTTGCCCGTTTACGACACTTTTTTACTTCGTCCACGTTAAATCTGGTGTAGATGATGATGGAGTAGAAGTAATTCCAGACAATGCAGCCTATTGGCCACCAAAGGATAAATTTCAATTCCGTGTTCCAAATCGCCCAGAAAATAACATTGTGAATATGTGGCCATTTGGATCTAATGTTAAAAGCCTTGACTTTGCCGATGTTCCCATCATTAAAACACGTCTCAAGGAATGCGTGACACATATTTCATTTCTGGACTACTTTACCTGCATTTTGGCAGGTTATTTTATCCTTGTCGGTATTATTATCGGTATATATCGAGCGGTTGGGCCATGTCAAGAACAAGACTGGCCAGCGATACCGCTGTTATTATCATGGACCTTACCAATCTTAATACTAAGAGTCCGCAAAGGAAAAGCGGTAGTCAGAGAACCCTCCGAGGCACTAAAGTTAATCCCAGGACATATTACTTTAAATGATATTGACGAGCGTATAGCTCGAGATATTCGAGGACACGTTTTACTTACATTGCTAATGAGCATTATTGTCCATTGGATAGTTGTAATTCTGACTTACTATACAAAGCCGATTGGCTTTGGCTGCCGTTCAATTGGACTTACTGTAGTAGCAGTTGTTTGGAGCTGCAATAGCCTCTTATGCTTTGTACATTGTTACATATTCAATAACCCACCGCCAGGAGTAGATACCGGTCCTCTTTATTTTTGGCTATGTACGTCGGGATTGGGAATAGGAGGGTTTTTTATATTTTTTGGTGTAATTAGTAATAATCCGGACTGGTGGGTGGCGATTTTTGGAAAATTTTGTGACGTTTCCTCTTGTTTGGCAACGAGCGGTTGAATGTTGGTGAGCGTATAGTCATTGGGCTGGACCCATCGATATAAAATTTGTAATTAATTTATATACCATTCAAATAAATAAAGTTAAAGGAATTTGCAAATTAATTATCAGTAAGTATTAAGTATTTAATGACAACCTGATAACAAAAACACAAACGTGCGGGTTACGTAGATACTTGATCAACTACACGTCAATCTATACAAGGCGCTTGTGCTTTATTATGAGTAATCTATGAACAATTCTGTGGATCCTATGAATTTTGTAAATTTTTATAATTTTAGGCTAATAATAATCATTTATACTAAAGTGAGGTGGTAAAAATTTTAGATAAGAAAATATTTTATAGCTTTTATTCAGTTAAGCTTAACTTTCTTGCAACAATTATTATTATAGTACGATGCAATTATGCATAATAACATGCACAACTAATAAAAACAAAATGGCAGTTTAAGTTGAAGCAATTACTATTAGGTTTTATTACGTTTTGGCTGATGTATGCGGTTGATGATTTTAAAAGATTATTAATACAATATTTGTAAATTTATTGCCTTCTCGGCTCAATCTACTCGATAGCCTAAGTTTTCTCTAACTCTAATTACTGTGGATTATACTATTTGTAATAAGCTTATATAGTGTAAACCTACGCTCCTTGAGTAAGACCACACATCTTAGGAGTAGGCTCAAATACAATTTGGAGAGTTTATGGTTTCGTATTGATAATTAATAGACATTAATTTTATTATCCGGGTTCTCCGGTCTAAGGATGTATTACTTAATATTTGTAACTCGGCAAACTTTTATGCTTCCACTATCCAAGGTCCCAAAATCCATCGATAATATAATAGCATCGAATTAATATCATACCCTCCTTACAATTATGAGGATTGGTGTTAAATAATGACATCTAATTTCTGCATAACTATATACTGAGGGGAGGCATTTATTTCATCGACAATTATTTCACCGACAGTACACTTCACCGACAGTCATTTCACGTGACATATTGTTTATCGCACTTATCATTGGTTTTCGATGAAATTTATGTCGGTGAAACGTACTGTCGGTGAAATGATTGTCGATGAAATGAACCGGGCCCATACTGAGGCAGTTGCACAAGTCGCCATAATATTTGTCATCAGTAAACAATTAATTAGGATAGTTGGCAGTAGTCAAGTTGATAATAATAAAAAGAAGTGGCAAGTTGAATAGATGAATGACTTCCGTTAGAAATCGTCATGTACCTTTAGCGTTTGATTAATATTCCTTTCTAATTTTTTATACTCTGAAATATATATTTTTAAGATTTGTCGTTGTAGTCAATAATTCTTTCCGACAACTTTAAACACTGGCCCTTATAATTGACGATGATTTGAAGAATGGCAATATATACTGTATGACCATAGATGGACTATAATGATTCGGTCTCTGTAATGATTCGGTATAGCTGTGAACCACTAATTCCTACATCAATTAGGAATATCCTCTTTTTGTCCCGTGGATATTCTCGTAACACTACAATCGTTGTTCACTTGAATGGAAACGCATTTAGAAAGATACGGCGGGTATACCCCAACCTGTACGATGTAGGCTTTCGAATCAATCCATCGAAAGAAAATGATTGATATATAGGAAAGCGGATGATCATCGAATATTAGTTTACAGACCACTAACTGCCGTCGTATTTGACTAAAAGTAGGAGAAGCTACATTCCAAAGTTAGCAATCAATTGCTCTTCCGCGATTGTTGGCACGACACAGTGCAGATCTAGCCTTCATCTCGGGTGGCTTGTTTCGATTTCTCAGAATGAAAAAAAGAAATGCTTGCACGAGCTGTCTATTTATGTCTAGAACAATACGACAATTTACTGATAATTATATTCAATGTTTTGCCTTTTCTTCCAGACAAAGAATGCATCTATTTTTATTTTATTCGATGTAATGACATTAATTATTTATTAATGATCTTAAACATGTGAATCATGTCATGTAAACCAATTAGTTGTCTTTTTCTTTAGACAAAGGATACATCTTAGTTGATATTATTGAAATCAGATAGCAATCATAACCATAAGCGTGTTTATGGGTTAAGACTAATTGTGATATGGACAATCAACGGTAGACGTACAATCGGCTGCAAAGTTCTTGCAGTTACGTGATCCTACTTCATATGTCACGATACTCACTGGTAATCTTTCTCAATGATTTATTATTTATTAATCACGTCAATTTGCTTATCTTGTTCACTGCTCATCTATAATACACAAATACAAATACATTCTCTTTAAAGTCCTAGGCACAACTTTTAGAGATGTATTATCAGTGTGTAAATTTTATCCTTGAACATATGATAGCGAGTGTTTTGCCATTATCAGACGCAACGTTCTAGATCTTAAGTCAGTAGCTAATTTGGAATCCAGGGGGTGGCTTTCTAATAAATATCGCTTCATCGTTATCTGAGACACATGTTCAGTAGGCTATCATGCTATTTTAAGCCACTTGCACACAACATGTCGATATCCAACAATAGTATTATTGATCCAGTTTATTCGGCAATTGGTTGAGCAGATGCTATACCGGGAGTGGGCTCTATCGTTGCCTTACACAGACATTTCATTGAATGTTTCTGGACCAGATTTCCGAGAATTGTGTCACCGACAATCTTATTCCCCCCCTGAAGGTCAGCTACTATATAATAAAATATAGACATTTGGGCATCCTCGCATTTATACGCATAATAAAAGAAACACAAATTTGGCGTTTGATACCCGCAATCTATAATCAACGCATCTAAGCCTCGATTCCAGAACATACGATTTGCATAAACTTTTTTTAGAAACCAAAGAATATGTTCTTTTGCGGCTTTGTCAAATATGAGAACTATATTGTTGATACCGGTTTTACTTATGAAGGATTAGTGATCATTACTACCGCAAATATTTGTCTTGCCACATGAACCTGTATCACAAGCATAGTATCTTTGACTCGTACACCATTTACACCACAAACATGTTTTTCTGTTCTAAGACGTTATGTTATAATTTTCTTATAATATGCATATTAACATAATAGTTTTGATCATGCAATAGGTCACTCATGGAAAATTACACATACAAAATGACACAAGACCAATATTATCACATATTTTGAAAGTCTCTGCCTGGCGAGGTAACCGTTGCATGTGCTATTTGCAATGATATTCATAGACTTTAGTATCAAACCACGTTAATTAATTTTTAATTTATATGACGGTTATAATAAACGCATAACTACACGATAAAACAGTGTCGAAAGTGTGACAGTTGTTCAGTCAAAAATAATTATCGGTCAGTGTCTAGACTATCAAGTGATTTTAGATCTAATTCAACCACTTGATTAACCGATGTTATCCGAGAGGGGTGGAAGTAAGAAAATGAAACGGGGAGAAGAGTTGTAAGCGCGTGCAACTAAAGTGGCTCATAAAATTTCACAATTTTAACTATCAAGTTTACTAGTTTTATTATCAATTAAATTACTTTGGTTTATTCTTGGTAAATTAAAAAAAAGACTATACAATAATACATTTCGTAGAAGCCATAAAAGCTATAAAACAAGTTACCTGATTATATAGAGGTTTTTTAAAAACACTTTTTCCCTCTCTCCCAAATATCCTTTCAATATAGAAATGGCCCCGTCGTCAGCCTTTGTCACGCATATGTTGCAAAACCCTGTTCCTACGTATCTTTTGGGTACACTGCCTGCGATTCTCACAATAGGAGCAGCACCCTTCTCGTCTCTAAAATTAAAGGTTATGCACATATTCACCTGTCTCGCGTGCCCCTTTGTAGGATTATCTTACTTTGACAATATCAATAACGGCAAAGATGAGAATAAACAAGATGTCGTAGATGCTTGCGTCTATTGGCTCAACAGCAATCGGTTTGAAGGTGGCGTTTGGCCTTTCGGATACCGTGTACAGGCCATAGATACGAGGCCAAATAATGAAAATACGGCCTTGCTAAAAGTCCTCAGGAGTTGCATAGCAAACGCATCTGTCCTAGATCGGTTTGCATCTCTAGCATCAGCGTACTATATTGTGGTCGGTATAGCCCTAGGAATCTATCGAGCAGCAGGACCATGCGATATTCAAGAATGGCCGTATGTACCATTGTTATTAGCCTGGACGCTGCCAGCAATTTTGATAAGAATGTTTAAAGGAAAGATTATAGCGAAAAACCCAGAAGATGAGATGCTCGTATCGGTCAGAAAACTACCGGACGAGGATAATCGTAACATACGAGCAAACGTTTTGGCATATCATTGGTCATTCCCTAGATGGCAGTACTTATCGCTTATCTTACTCGGCCTAAAGGGTTTGGATGTCGTTCTAAGTATCTGACGGGATTTTGTAGTGTCTGGTCATTTAATAGTATTGTTGCATTTTTTTACTACTACTTGGAAAATCGTCCACCACCGGGTGTGAACACCGATGATTACGTTTATATTTGGTTTCAAGTGTGGGGATTTGTAGTTGGCGTGTTTTTGGTAATGTTAGGTGTATTAAGCAATAATCCGTCATACTGGGTAAACACGTTTGGAGATTCTTGTGATACTTCTGCTTGTTTTACATAATATATTATTTTATTAGGAACGTTTATCCTATAAATGTTTTTATTTTTAACTAATGTAATTTAGTACGTGCCAATTTTAGAAATAATAAACTTTTGTTTTATTTTAATCACCCGTGTTAGCCTGTAAACGTCATTATATCTTAGTATTTGTGGATAGCTATAACAGTAAGGTTCGGTAAATATAAAGTATTCGACTTTAATTATGAGAGACCAAAGACTGGCATGTGAACTAATGTGCTTATAGAATACTTTCTACACACTTAAACATTAATTGCTGACATGTTTCGAATCAACTACAAAAAGCCTCAAATGTTGCCGCATCCAATTTAAATTAGAAAATTTAATATAATCAGAATGTTTTACAAATCACATGAACGTATTCGGCCAACGCAATTTGAGTGACAATCAACAACTACAAATGATTTTTATTATTGTAAGGTTACCTATTAAAACTATCTTTGACTAGTCAGGAAAGCTGTTTACATTACATCTGAAATGAATTGCTGAAATACATATTGTAAAAACACCAACAATTTCTTATTTGTTTTCTGCCAGTTTGGGTTATAAACAAAGTTTTGACAGTAGTGTTTGTTCGTTAAAACGATACGACTCCATTTATTCCTCACAAGCGATGCCTATTTGAACGTTTGTGACACGTCTGTTAAGCTTACTGCACGTCCTATTTTGATTACACATAGCTCATTTAGATGGTATGTCAGTTGAAGGCGACCTAACAAGTAATAACCAAACATTTGACAAATATGGCAATTATTATATGATTTTCGAATGGTATGATAATGATCAATTGATTTAAGTAAATTATTGGAGATTACGTCAACGCCTTGGCTGTAAGGGGCATTTATCTCGATCTAATAGAATCCATTAAGTATCTCAAATTATTAAATATAAGCAACATAACACACAATTTCAGAGATAATTATATTATATAACTATAGTAAAGCTATTAATGGATTGATAAACACAACGCGAAAAAAGAAATTTAAATATACCAAGTATGAGATAATTTACATTGATAGTTGCAAAATACAGAGAGCAAAATTTTCCTTCCATACTGTAAGTTGTAAGTATGTCGCCTTGTTATTGACTTTAAGATGTCTTATTAGATATTTAATTGCACAATGAGTCACAATAAATAAGTGTTGCTACTATTATTTATTGACATAAAGTGGTCATAAACTAATCTAGTGATGTATCAGTTGCGCCGAATGTTGCAAATGTGTGGTATAATGAAGGTAGTCAAAACTAAAACAAAATCGTACGATGTGTGATTATCAAACATATAATTTAGTAGTATGGAAGACGGTAAATATTGTTCTTTGTTAATCAGAGGTCTACTTATTACGACGATTTGCATTGAAATTATTGGATGCCAAGCATAAAATTTAGCAAATAGTGTGACTGTATGTTCATCGTACGATTATGTCGATTATGTTAGCCTATACAATCACAATCAGCGATCGAGTACTACTTCCACATTTAACGATAAAACAATGTTGTATTAGTGGAGAGGCAATCAATATCTATAACAAAAAAACATGTGCAACGATGATATCATCCATTTATTATCTTTTCTTTCAATTTAAAGCCTTTTATACCCCTCCCCCCGACAGTAAGTTGAATTTAGTTTCTTATTGGTGTTTTCGGAAATTGAGTACGTAGTCAGGTAAGTATATGATCAGCTTTTCTGACAATCACGTGATAAGCAAACTAACATCCATTAGCAACAGAAATAATATGCTCATTCACGGTTCACGGAAACTTTGAAACATGGACATACGGCAAAGATGATCGAAAAACGGGTTTGCTTGTGTCGCTTTTATTATTCACGAGCCAATTATTTTCAATAAATGAATTTTAATAAAATATTATGTCATACAGATTGTTGTAAGAATCATTTAACTAATGATACTGAACGGTTCTGTAGGCTGCCCATCTCGGTTCGGACTTGGCGTACCATAAATGGTTTGTTGTTTTTTTCTGTAAGCATAATAATCTTCCAAACGTGCTCTATATTAAAAAAGTAGATAACTACAACAATCATACGAATTGTTAGCTTTTACCCCACTTTCGGGGGTTTGTTATTCCGAGCAGAAACAAAGAGTACGTAATAAAAGACAAAAACCGACTCATTTACCTTACAACTCGCGTGACATAGTCATTTATTGTTTAATGGCAGTTCACACATGTCATCCAGTTAAGCCGTTAACTAAAAAGAACGAGTTTTTTTTTGTAAATATGACACTAGTTCTAATGGCGTTTGGAAAATGGCATAGAGCTATTAGACTATTACTTATTCGCTTTAATATAAAAACGGGTTAACTATTAATAGTCGATAACTGTAAACGTACTACAGACGCAAACCTCAAAGATGTGTCTTATTTATATGCTTAAAATATAAGCTAATATTCTTATTGGACCCAAGTATAAACCAATACGTATACGAAACCGTGTTTACTAAACTGTCATAATTTTCGACATTACACTATCGATATAATCTGCCGCGCAAACTCATTGGCTTAATAACAGTTTGTATTACAGTAAATATAAATAGCCACCTTGGTAGTACTTAATAAGGACATACGGAAAGTATTACAGTTAATAAAAAACTTACTGCTGACCATCCCGTATTAGCATGCATGAATAGGCTGTGCTACCATCTTTAGTATGTGCATGTAGCTAGGAAACACTGTCGTTGACTGCCGAAATGAGAATCACGCATACGCATTACAGTAAATCAAATCTAAATAGCTTAAACAATCGCAGCGGTGGATATCTCACATCAGATCTTTTCATATAGAGTTTCAGTATTAAGGTCATATTGCACATGTACGCGATCAATCATACTTAGAACTGCGCATTTTGTAAAATCTATAAAAGAATAATCATCCATCTTCTGATAGTTTTGAAATCGAACTTAAAGGTGTTTGACTATTAAAAGATATATCCTGAGTATCCGATAGACTAAATTTTAAAGATGGCAGAAGGAACACCTTTCTCATTATTCATAACACAAATACTTCTAAATCCTGTGCCTCAATATCTTTTGGGCACACTACCCGCAATCCTCACAATAGGAGCAGCACCTTTTTCTCGTCTAAAGTTGAAGTTGTTGCACGTGTTACTGTGTCTTGGATGTCCTTTTGTTGGATTATTTTATTTCATCAATATCAATAATGGGGAAGACACAAATAAGCAGGACGTTGTAGACGCTTGTGTATACTGGCTCAATAGTAATCGCTTTGCCGGTGGTGCTTGGCCTTTTGGATATCGTGTTCAGGCCGTGGATGCAAGACCCAATCATAATAACCCCACACTAATAAGAGTTCTCAAGGGCTGCATGGCAAACGCGTCTATCCTAGATCGGTTTGCATCCCTAGCATCAGCATACTACATTGTGATTGGTATAGCCCTAGGAATATATCGAGCGGTGGGACCATGCACTATTCAAGATTGGCCGTATATACCATTGTTATTAATCTGGACGCTGCCGGCAATTTGGGTGAGAATAATTAAAGGAAAGGTTATAGCAAAAAACCCAGAAGAGGAGTTGGATGAAGACATGCTGGTATCGGTCAGAAGACTACCAAATGAGGATATTCGTAGCATACGAGCAAACGTTTTGGCAACACTTGTACTATCGTCGATTATTCCCTGGACAGCAGTGATTATCGCTTATCTTACTCGGCCTAGAGGATTTGGATGTCGCTCCAAGTATCTGACGGGATTTTGTAGTGTCTGGTCATTTAATAGTATTGTTGCATTTTTTTACTACTACTTGGGAAATCGTCCACCACCGGGCGTAAACACTGATCAAGATTACATTTACATCTGGTTTCAGGTGTGCGGATTTGTAATGGCAATGTTCTTGATAATATTAGGTGTGCTAAGCAATAATCCGTCGTGGTGGGTAGCCTTGTTTGGAGATGCCTGTGATATTTCTTCTTGTTTAAATGAAGTATACCATGTATTATAATAATAATATAGTAATAGTAGTAGTAATAACAATAAAGTGCAGCGCTTTTTTCAGTAAACATAATATATTCCACCTTCAACTTATGAGGATCAAAAACCTGACAGCACTTATAGTTTCTATACGCTTAAAATATTGGTCGTCCGGAATTATTACTACTAGCCTGAACTGGTAAAATTAGTATAGGTATAAGTCACAATACAAATTTATATGTGATACCACGAATCAATTATATTCCCTTATTATAGACTAGCTTCAATTATTGCTTGCTAGTTAGCTAGTCCAAAACCTAAAACTCTAAATCTAAGGCCAAGTTTTACTCGTAACTTTCTACGAGTAAAAAAATACCATTATATTCACATGATTCGACAATATACAACATAATATAGTAATAACATAGCGGATTGTTACAATACTATGATGGTAATTTGGTTATGCTCAAGTATGTGTTTTACCTAAGCATGACTATTATTTCATTGCTTATATATAGATTTATAGCCATCACAATAACACATTATTAAAGTAAAAGCTTTTTTTTGACTATACTATATACTTGTACAATTGCATGCAGAATTGTATGTACGTTATGCATAATACGTGTCCATTATGTATAGGTACATACATTGTACGAATGCTAGATTAATAAAAATCGGAGCTCAAAAAGGCGAGAGGAATAAGAAGATCGCTAAAATAGGCGGAAATATAAATAAAAAGTAATGGACCCCGAATTCGCCAATTACCCCTTTGCTTTAAAATCTCGATTTTAAGGACCATTTACGGAACGGCGATTTTGTACCGATTCATTTTTTGCATCTATTATAAATATGTTCTAGTTTATTAACTCTGAATATCAAAGTTATAAACGGTTAGTAAATTTTTCACTTTAACGTCGCCAAATTACCTCTGTATACATGCAGATTCCTGTCGCTTAATTTGTATCGGCATTTCTTTTTGTACCAAAGATTATTTGCGTTCCAACAATGAACGGTTCTCACTTTTTAATTGTGATAGAGTCATCACAAAAAGGGGTTCATAGCAGCGATGTCAACATATTTGTAAGGGAGGCGGGCACCTGGCCATGGCCGCTCTACCCCGGTAGCAAAAATGGAGTGAGCTCTCTTGTTGATTTGAGTATGATTGTTGGCAGCAGCAGCAGCCGCAACAAGAAGTTCTGAAAGTGTGTCATAGACAATATTGCTTCAATTACAGCAGAGTTGTCAGGAATGACATAGTATCACACATTACGAAGGCCGTACTCATTAATGATTCGAATGGTTCTGAATTGAGAGGTTCACCAGAGGGTCTGGTGGACGGGGTATAGTTGGTCGGTTGAGCATTTAAAAGCTCCGCCGCCATGAAGACAGACAAAATAAATTGAAGCAATTTACCATTGTTGAGACGTCATTCTTTCTCGTTATTCTATTTCAGTCTTAATGACTGTTTTTGAGTGTTTTTTGGGCAAGATTTTTATTCTCAAAGACAAGCATTGGATTGTTGTTGTTGTTGTTGTTGTTGTTGTTGTTGTCGTCGTCGTCCAATTCCTATGTATTTTGCCACTAAACCGATTATTGAATCATCAGGTTTTTTTTTCAATAAGATTAGTATGAGATACACAGCCGCTGCAATAGGTGTAAAGCTTAATCAACTGGCTTGGCCGAATGTCTTAATAGCTAATTATTGTTGACCCGAGTTTCAACAGAGTAAGCGAGAGCATTGATCGGATTGTAAAATGGGTTTGATTGTTACTGGAAGCTTGAAAGTGATGTACCCATAGCCTCGTTCCGTCCGGCCCCGTGATGTTGGTGTGTGGCTGAAGCGTTGTACGTGGCTGAAGCATTATACAGAAAAACTGATCATGATGTGGTTCTATCGGTTTTTCGAATTTAGGGATTACGATAAATGTATTGTTAATTTGAAAACGGGTTTTACAAGATCTATATGTATTATCGGTTTTATGAGAAATTTATCATATACAAGTGAAATTCGATCAAAATTGCATTAAGCCGAAATTAATTAGTAAATCCGCGCGTTAACGATAAGCCGAAGATTTTTGGCTAACGACTATAATAACTTACCGAAGTAATTACGTGAATTTATCTTGATTGGTTGATTCTTAAATCCCATGATCAAATCAGACATACTATTAGCGCAGACAATTCGTAGGCCATTCTTGAACGATCTTCATGCATCAATTTTGCGCGAGTGGCTTGTATATATTTTTACGGGAAAAGTTTCAATTAACTTTTACATGATTAATATTTCAGAATGAACGATCGTGGAGAAAATTCAACAAGTCGCTCTTCAAATGTTATGTCATTTTTAAACGATTCAAGAAATAAAACAGTAAAGAAAAAAGTAACAGAAAGACGCTGACTGGCCTTGAAAAACAATCTCTTTGTATTAACTCTTTGCTTCTGCATATTATTCAAGTAAGCTTCAAGTTGATACTGCCTTTTTATCTAATCTAAAAAAGTTAAAGAGAACGATTGAGACTAAACAACAGAATATGTTACAGCAAACGAGTATTTTTGCTATAAGCTGAAAGCTTGTGTAAATATATATAAATTCGGCTTATTGCGAAATTTGATAAAACAAAATCTCTCGGTAAGCCGAATAAATTGTCCTTTCCCCATGGTTCTAATGATGATTAAGTTATCTACCTTCGGCTTATCGAGTTTTACTTGTATAAATTGCACGGGAATTGAAAAAAGTATCGGTTTTTTGAGGTTTGACTGTACGTGGCTTTTCTTCGGTAACAACTTCGTCGTCACGCTCACATTGCACTACCTATACTTGCTTATAGAAATGTCCGGTCATCAGAAGTTTAAAATTTTTTGAGAGGGGTTTGATTATTGAAGAATCAAAGTAATGTATCCACGATTCCAGTTAGGTCATATGTTTGCAAAGAGTACTACGAAGAAACTGTTGGCTTCTGAGGTAAACAGGTAGTATAACAAGAATTGGTCCGTTGATTGATTATGCACACAAGTGATAATGGCGGCGTATGTTCAATCGCAATATGAATGAATAGCTTTCCTTTCTATTGCACAGCGGAAAATGTGAACAAAGGGACTACGTACCGTTTGTACCAAAAAGCCGTGTCGTAGACAAACTCTCTGTCCCATTGTTTATGTAGGCTTACCAATCCATTTACCATTTTCATAAATGGTAGATTTTGTATTTCGACCATTTTTTCTTTTATGCTATGCTATGTATGATATTCTGACTTACTCAAGTAAGAGCATCTGAGATTGATTATGGCGCATTTCTGAATGGTCCATAAAAGTTTGTGATGTTTAGCTAATTGCTTGACCATTAAGCCATCCATTTGTGTTGGATAATTACACATGCTCGCATCTTTTTCCCGCCTTCCCTTGCTAGTTTAAGTTTTCTAATAACATTTGACATCCATAATTATTGTTGCATGTACGGTTAGATTCGAGTTTTTGTTTAATTTTGAAGGGAAGGCAAGTCGGCGCCTAATTTGAAAATTGTCTACACTATTTTGCCACCACATAAAGATACCATACACACTTATATATTTTCTAGTATATACTAACTCGTCGCAAGAGAAACAAATAACTATTCCCATTCTTAGAGAGTATAAACTACCGTCTGGAAATCGTATCAATTTTTCTGGCTTCAAGAAACCTTTGCTATTAATATGCATAAAATTATTATCTTAAAATACATTAAGCGTTCTCAGATTCGTTCTTTTCACTCATCAGGAGTTTCTCCAATATGGCATCCCGCAATATTCATGTATTCTTTAGGAGTGTAAGGTCGATAAATTTATCAATACAAACATAAAAAATAAATTTACGCTATTGCCATCTGGTGATGCGCACTCTATTTGTGTACTTGGGCTTTGTATTCTTTTATTAGTTGCATTCCTATTGTGCAAACTACCCTCTATTTGGTTGCTTAAAATGTTCTGAACGGCTGTCTTATCAATCCTAATACTTTATCCTTATTATGTTTGAGGGCCTCTTTCTCTAACCGTTAGCTGCTTTATAACCCGCTTAGTTCGGCGAATATCGTTACCTTTGCCAACATGGGGACAGATTTTATTGAGGTTTCGAGGTCTTTATTAGGCACACATGGGGTGACCCCTAATTTTCTGTGTTGCTGCTACCTAACAAAGATGTG